ATTCAAGTACCTCCTCGCCTCATGATTCGTCGACCTCCCACCTCTCCACCCATAATCTTCCTCCTCATCATTATAGAAACCATTATCATATCCACACTCCTCAGTCGACGTCGAAACACCACAAGTATCCTCTTCAAATTTATGCACATTACCCCTATTTTTACTCCCACAAACCTTTCCCTTTTGAGCTTTAACCCCAAATTTCTCATTCTTCCTTACACCAACATAATCATCTTCATCATCATTATTAGTATCATAATCAAAATCACCATTACATTCTCTAAAACTAGCAGCATTACTATTATTCTTACTAGTCTTCTCCTTCTTCCAATCATCAAGTATTGAATCGTTAAATCTAGAAGGAAGTACCTGAGCTCGGCCCCTCGAAGTCCTCACTAATGGCGGTCTCGGACTCTCCTTCGCCACCTCGGCGACATGACGAGTCTTCACCTTACTCAAACTCCCCCTCCTCCCATCCTCCTCCTCATCATCATCATCGTCGTCCTCATCCTCATCTTCATCCTCCTCCTCGGCAGGGGAGCACGAAACCTCGCTGCACCACGACGCAGCGAAACCCCGGAAATCGGCATTATTGTTATTATTATCAGAGAAAATCCGATGAAATCCACTGAAAGGAATGACGCCAGCAGCAACTTCACCGAGAAGACTCAAAGGGAAGTAATTCCCACCATTATTATTACTGTTACTACTATTGCTTCCATTGTTATTACTGCCATTATAGCTCTTGGATTTGCGCTTCTTCCTATCATTGCTATCTTCATCCTCAGTTTTCGAAGGTTGAATAACACGACACCGTTTTAGGGTAGGCATTGTCGATTTCAAGCTCCGTTTGATAATCATCTCAACTATCAAACCCAAACCCAGAATTTCGAATCCGAAAACAACCAATCTTCGAATTCGAAACCCTAATTAACAAACCCTAACATATCAAATCTCACCCAAAAAAAATTAAAAAATCCGCCGATGCAGCAACAGAGGAACAATTAACACACCACTCAATCACAAAAAAAAAAATTACAAAAACATAACAGTAGAACAGAGAGAAAATGCCAATTAGGGTTCTTCAATTTCTGGGAATTTGAAGAAGAACCAGAATTAGGCGGGAAATTGGGGGAAATTTTTTTCAGAAAAAGTTGAATTAAACAGAGACAAAGAGAGAAAAAGGAAGATGAAAAAGGGATCTAATTTTATGGGGGTTCGCTGATTTTGATGTAAACGGAGACAATTAAAAATCCCTAAAAAATGAAAATCAATCGAAAAATGTTCATCAGTTTTAGAGAGAGAAAGAATGGGGATTGACTACTGAGAGGAGAGAGAAAGTAAAGAGAGAAAGATGGGTCGGCGTTATCCTCCGTGAAAAGAAAGAACCAACTCTCGTTACTCTAATTTTCCTTTTTTTTTTATTTCTAATCAATTAATTGCATTTTATAAATTAATTTCAATTTTTAAAATTTTGTTTGTTAATTGTTCTGCAAATGTAACAATGGATGAAGGTGAGTTAAATTTTTGGTTCCAAAAACTTTGGAATTTGAGAAATGAAATTATTTCTTGTTTGTGACACTCATGATTAGTCTTAAATTTATGTAACTATATAGTGTGAACTTAATGATACGGTTAAATTTAATGTTATATGAATCCTAGGCAATAAAGTAATCAATTTCATGGCTGCCATGAAAGAATGAAAGAAAAACTTACGGGACTATGTATAATATGTAATGCAAAATTGCAAATGTATGCAATTTTAAGCTGTTAGCATTTTTTCGAGGTTAATTCGTAATGTAACACAATTTCGATCAGTCCGAAAGTTGTGGGCATGTTGAAATTAATGGTGGTTCGAAGATTGAAGGATACGATGATGTTAGCTGTTTTCGATTTTGGTCTTTCCATGGTTGTGAATTTGTTACTGGCCTTAAGCTGCAATTATAATGGCAAGAGGTTTCTATTTTTATTTTATTTTATTCTAACGTTATTTTCTGTTTATGAAATGAAGGTGGCAAGTTCGTGGTTGTTTATATAGTTTATGTTCACGATTCTAAAAATAGTAGAGTTTAATTATTCGAAGTTTTTAGTTGGTAGCTAGAATAATTTGCTACAGTAATATTTTGTTATTTGGTGGGGGATCAAGGCAATAATAAATTTGGGTTACAAAATGGATTTTACTAAGCTTTATGACTTTTGTTGAATCAAACATGGTTTGTTCGAAGAATGGTGGTTAAGAATTTCTATACCAATTTCTCAGTTTTAACTTGATGTAAACAAGTAATTTCGCGGTGTTTCGGTTTTTCTTTTTTTGTATTATTTTTGGGTAAGGTGGTTGAGATTTTCTATCCCAATTTTCTCTTTTTCAATTTTATATAAGAAAGCATTTTTCATGGTGCTGCGGAGTTTGTTTTTTTTTTTTTTTGGAATTTGTGAATATAATGTTAATCGAATTCACAAATAACAAGTTTTGCTGGAAGATGACAATGGTTGAATGAGACGAACAAATAGTTAGATGTTAAAAATAAATGTTAAAGAGTATTCCAAAAAGATGATGAAAGCAAGAAAACAATGGAAAAGTCTACCAAAAAGACTCCTTTCACCACTAATACTTGTATGTTATTCTTTAGGTGGTAATTATGACTTTCTCGTGTTTAAGCTTGTACAACTTTAATTAGGCTTTGGTATAATTTTAGCTTTGATCATATAGAATAAATTATGTCGGTAATGGAAAACTCCGGTGTACCGGAGAAGTGGCAGGCAGAACGATCTAGACGGATCTTCCACTGAAGTTCGACCTCTGATGACACAAGGATGGGAATCACCGTCTTTATCCGGGTTCCTCAGCTCTGTCCTATGTTCTAGTTTTAGGGAGAACAAGAAATTGAGAGCAACCTTCAAACGCAACAATACTCATGGTGGTCAATGTGATTCTAAGTTTGGTCAATACTTGAATGCTGCCTTGTATAGTTGTGGGTTTGAATGAATTTGTAGGGTAGCGTTACCTCTTAATATAGTCGTAATTCATTCAACTTTTTTTGTACCCTACTAATTCCAATGATATTTCATTAATTGCTGGATTAATTAACATGGGACAATCGTGTATGGCTGGATTACTTAGCTTAGAAGTGGTGGAGGACTCGTCTGCCTAGAATCTCACCTTCTGCCTTTTCGTCGAGTGTCTTAGACCTTGTCGCGCTCTTGGCTTTGCCTCTGATTGATACAAAATTCCCGTTAATTTGTTTCAGTGTCAACATAGAGCCACAGGAATTATTGGCTTCAAAAGGTGTAGATCGAAATTTGTCCAAGAGGTGGACTTTTTCGGTCACATCGTCCTTGAGGTCAAGGCTCTTGCTCTTGTTCTGTAGTTACTTGCTTTGAAAAACCGTGCCTAGTTCTGAAGTTTACAACAGGTATGGTAAGGTAGAGGAGATGAGGAAGAAATAGATGTCGCAGCCTCGGCGCATGGAGAAGATGGTTCTTGAAGTTTAGTAAGCTATGAGCCTATGATGAAGACAATGAAGAAGGAATTGCAGAATTAGAGAAGCAGACTCTTTGGCCATGTTAAACTATTGGTTATATGTATGTAAGGCTACAGGATGATGACTCTTTTACAGAATTTGTAAAGCTTAATCTTTAATTAGACCAATATATAAAGAGTTTCTTTGTTAGACCAACATACTCTTGCAACTTCTAACACATGATAATCACTCATAGTATCATGTTAAATATTTGTCAAAAACTAACCCGATCCAAAACAACTAGATTCAATCTAAAGTGGTCCTACCTTAAAATTGATCAACAAAGGCATATTAATTTAGCATTACTTAAATCTGAAATGACCCTGCCCAACTAGACCCAACTTAAACCCAACCGATGATCCGAATTGACACTCTAGTTAAACCGAGCATTTTACATAATTTGCTAGTTTCTACTTCTCAATGATGCATTGTGCTTAAGGTTGACAGAAACCAGGTAATGTCTAGATTCATCCTGCTTATGATCCAGCAAATGTTGCTACCTTGGAATTGTATTTTTTTTTTTCCCCTACAATGCAACTTTCGTACTCCGTATATATCAAATAAGCTGGAAATGTATAAATTATAAACTGTTAAACATATACTTTTTGAACTAAACTTTTACAAATTAATTTGAAGTGCTGTATTCAAGGTAAACAATTTATTTGCATGAATAAGCTTCATAAATATCCAGCCATCAACCTCATAGTAGGCTTAGTAGCGTCAAGCCCCTCAAAAAACTATGTTTGAAAAATAGACCACATATCCATCAGTTGATTAAAAGCTCATTATATCAATATTAATACTTTTACATACTTTGAATTAGATTAAAGCTTTGGTATTATTGTTGTTGGTGCCTTAATGATACTTACTCTCACCTTAAGTACCCGTATTAGTCGTATACTCATAAGGACACTCGACTTTCGAACGTGGCTATATATACTTGGCATGCTGGCATTGTACAGGACCAAAAACATACAAATTTCTAAAGAAATGGTAAATCCTGGCGTTTGGACAAGTAAATGGATATTATTTTCATGATAAGATTCAGCATAATATTCCAGCAAATAACCTGTAGTAGTTAGTGGCTCAAAACATACGGAGTTAACACAAAATCTGAATTAAAGGTCTATTTTTGTTGCATTCAGAGTACCAAGTAGCAAACAAAACCTTCTTTCCTTCTGATTTTTTAAGTCTTAGTTAACACTGTCTTTGACAAATCATTCATCAATAATTGTTGAGAAACATAAGCATCAAGTGACCCACTTGACTTAGTCTCAACAACATGCAAACTTTTGTCTGTTCTATATGTGCTGTATATATCAACCTAACCAAAAACCTCCCATCTAGCTGAGGTTTCAAGATTCCAAGTTGCTCCTGTCAATTTTTTGATAGCATAACAAACATACCTATATTAGCCCCGGTTTTTGCGCCTGTGATCACAAATAGTAGTATATGTTTCGCAAAAAGAACCAACAGCAGTAACAGAAAAGAGCTAGTAACAAGAGACATTTTCATTCACTGATACACGCTGATAGTAACCGGGTATTAGCATCGTAAGCCTTATTTCATTCCCTATGTACAAATCTAAGCTAAGCAGCTAATTATGCTAAAACTAGAAAGGAATTTATCACAACAATTAAAAGATTACCTACTACTTTCCTTTTTTTCAAGGGTTAGTGGTCTAACACTTATTAGGCAAACCCTGATATATAGGTGTATCATATACTTCATAGATGCTATTCCTTTAGACCACTACCGATTCTAAGGCTGTTATTTTCCAAAAGTCGTCTATCTCTATGTTCTTTCCTACATTTGCTCGGTAAGATCTGTTGTTCTGTTACTCATTGCTTCTTGCAATCAGGATCTTCAGTCTTTGCAAATCTTCCGCGAATCCTTGGCTGACTGTCAGCTAGAGCCTTCCTGCAGGCATACTGAAGCAGGTATACCGTATAAGACAATTTTTCTGAGATATTCTCAAAAGAAAAATTCAAATCTTAAGCTTGCCAAGGAAAACCCATAATGATCACCAATTTACCTTGATTTTCCGGCCAAAGTTCCTCCTTGACCTCTTGTTTCTGTATCTGGAAAGCTTCTGCAGGCGATCTTCAGAAGTGCAACTGCCAATCAGCAGTGGCCGCTGGAGTGTAGATTGGATGAGACTAACATTGCCATTAGCTAGAGTCTGTCATAAAAACCGAGAATCAATGACCTAGCCCCATCCTGTGGAAACGGTGAGAAACATCTAAACATTTCTTAGTTTCTACATGGTCTGAAAGCTTGTAAATGCTCCTTGCTCAATATAGGACATGACTCACACATTCACCACAACAAATCATCTAGCATATCTTTTTCTTACAATATCTTAGCCAAGTTCCCATATGCAATCAAAAGAGATTCAAAGAAAGCATGCTAATCAGATGAGCAAATTGTGAGAAATATCTCTTGTTCATGTATGATTCAACAGGTTTCTCAATAGAGAGTTTCATGGGATTACAGGGAAAGCAAAATGAGGGAATATTTAGAAGACTTCTCAACCTAACCTTTATGTCTCCTTCACTGAATGCCCTCCTCATCCCATAAGCAGCTCCAAAATCCAGTTCAGGAAAATCTAAGAAATTTGGCCTGATTGCGGCGCTACTTACCCATTCCATTGAGTTTAAAGACCCCGAGCTACCACTTTTTGAAAAGGGCAAGGCAGGAAGTGATTTGTTTTCTTCAGTTTGGACCTCATTTGTCATCATGAGAGGAAATTTGATGTCCAGAACATCAGAGACAGCAGTTTCCATAGATGTAGTTTTCTCCAACAGTTCATTTTGGCATCCATCAAAAACGTCACACAAAAGTTGCTCATTTTGCAGGGATTCCATGTCACTAACTTTGAGCCCAGAATCTTCCACAGAAGAGATCATAGCAATAGCTGCTGTCATAGGATCGAGGCTCCCAATTGGCTCTTCAATTATGGGCTCGGGTGCTTTGAAGAGATCCCCTTCGCCTCCCAAATCATAGTCTGAGATTGTAGAGGTTGTAATGATGCTGTCCTGAATAAGTAAACAAACAATTAAAATTAGCAATTATCACAGATATAAAGTGTCACATCATATCTGAAATAATTCTTTTTAGCTCTTGTGTTAACATAAGACCTAACCCCTGAAAGGTTTTTTGCTAGACGCCATTATTGTGACAGATAGTATGACAGACTCTCCAATATGTATGGAAAGCATTTGATTGTACTCGTATTTTTTATTTCAGAAGATCTCAATAACACAGTATGACTGTCCACATAATTGACTTGTACTTATGTCCTCAATCGATGTTTTACAAAGCCGCAATCTCAGCACATGTAGCAGAAAGTAATTTGCTGATTAGGTGTACCACAATGACTCTAGGATAATTTAGTTCTGCAACAACATCAGTCATTGAGTTTATTTATGTAACATAGAACTAATCCATGTTTACCACCTAAATCAGCTTTGGTAAGTTGAATCTACAAGTTTCTGGCAGACATAGCCCAATACTTATATTTTGCCTTGCCACAAGCTGAAATGGTTAACACAAGCTGACATGAATATAATCCGCATAAGTGCGCATAAGTGCGTAACACATTTGAAGCCTTTGCTGATACATACGTCGTACTTCATAAAGTAAGACTTAAAAGTATATCTAGTAGTTCAACTTGATGTTATTTGTGAGAAAGCTTAGCATCAATTAAGCCATTCAGTCAATTACATAAACTGCAAAAAGGAAATTATACTTTGTACAAACACAATTTCCTACATACCCAACTTTAAAACATTAGTACCAACAAATATCTAGCTTTAGCTTCCACTTTGTCCAAATTTTCCACATTTTACCAATTCACATCTTTGAGAAGTAACCAAGAGAATCAACCTGTTTTTACATCGACTTCGACCGAAAATGCAATATATTACAATCACACAACACAAATGAAGTAGGATGCTTAAACCTCAAATAAAATAACCCAACTTTTTTTTTTAATCAAGTACAGCAAAGATCAACTTCTACCTTTGAAAAAAGGTATCTTTTCTAAAATCCAAAATTTCCCAAATTTAGCTAACTCACAAATCCAGAAAACTCCATTTTTACATTAAAAACATCTCACACTTATCTCCTTCAAAGTTTCTTTGGAAAGTCCTATTGACTCTTGTCTTTGTTTTAGTGGGTTGGAAAAGCTATTCTGAACAAAACCCTTTTAATGGAAAAGAGAATAAAGCACACGCTAGTTGTGACTATGAATTCACTCATTATTTCTCTACTCTTTTACTTATTTACAGTAACTTCAATCACCTCCATTAATTCCAATTTTAGCATATAATTCAGAGCAATCAAATCATATACTAATCAAATTTTATGCATCAAACAAAAAATTATTAACTTGCTTAATCAAGCTTAACAACAGTTTGATCACTGATAAAGGTTTATTAAGCTAAACAAATGTGGGTCAAAATCAAAGCATTCATGATTTACCATATTAACCCAAGAAAAGATCCAAACTTGTTATCAATATCAAATCAATAACCTCAAAAAACAACACCCCAGATACCCATTTCACTAAATTTAGTAACCCAAAAAAAACCCAGATACCCATTTCACCATTCATACCCAAAACCCAAAAAAAATCAAACTTCAAACAAATTAGGTATAAACAATCACCCAAAAAGATGAAATCTTTAGAAAGAGAAAGCTGAATACCAGTGAAGAAGTGGGTTCTTGAGAGTAACAACAAAGCTCCTCTAATGGCTGAATTTCCTGAGATAACTTCTGGAAATATGGATACATTAAACCTGTTTCTGCATACATTTTTTCTTCAAAAAATGAAAACTTTAAAGCAGAAAATCAGTAGAAATAAAGGTATGAGTAAGTGGGAGTGGCAGAGGTAAACAAGAAGAGCAACAAACAGCAGCCTTAAAAGAGATTCTGGAAATGGGTTGGTTCCTTCTTCAAGAAGAGGTGGGGGTAAGAACTAAGAAGAGGAGGAGAGAGAATTTATATAAGAAAATTACTCCGCAAAATTGTATTGAAAGTGGGTTGTAATAAATTATAGGAAAAATATTAAAATTAAGACATTTTGCTTTCAATAATGAACAGTACACAATAAGGACAAAGGCATAAAGGACAATAATAATATCATCAATATTTTGTGCACTGTCAAACATGTCTCCCTATTTTTTTTTTCTTTTAAATGCTTTTTTATTTTTTTTATTATTTTGATAATTGTTACATCATCCCCCAATGTTTGGGAATTTGCCTTTTTCTATCTTATTACTTTGTTTCATTTTCTTTTGTCCATCCCACAAAATCATGTACTAAGTATATTGCGTAAGTTTTTTTTTTTTAGTTTACACGTTTTTTTTAAAAAGGATAAGATTTTACTCTATTAAATTAATTTAGAAAAGAGAATTGAAAGGGTCATATCATTTTATTTAAAGTAAAGAGAATTATGTAAATGTAGTTGTTTAAGTAGTTACTAATTAATAATCAATCTAACTATACACTAAAAGACACACTAAAAATAACACGTGTCATTTCTTAGTGTGTGTCCCTTAGGTTTTTGATTTTTTTTTTTTTAGAAAAATCTATTTAAGAAACAAAGCTTATACATAAATAAAAGAATAAAAAAAAATAAAAATTAATGTATCCTTCCACAATATGTATTGATACCATAAAGTTAAGTAAAAAAAAATATTCAAATTCTTAACATAGTATGTGACATACATCGTATTATGTACTACTCAACCATTATTACAAGGATTTTTTTTTTAAGATTTATGTATTTAATTATTTATGAAAAGCTTGCCAGGAAATTAAAGATATGAAAAAATATTTTAAGTCAGTTGATTATTGGAAAAAAATTATGCACAAGAGAGAATGAATAATAGAGTGTAAAAAAATCAGTTAACGGATTAAATACGTATTGTTAATGTATGAGGTTAACAAGAAGAAAATCTAATATATTAATAAATAAAGTCGGTCTCGCAGCCAGGTCACGAGACAGCGACACTTGGCGTTCCAGCTTTTCGCCAAGTGATGCGCCACCTAGGCGATAAATAAGTATTAATGTAACACGTATGATGCTAAGTAAGCGATTTTTGGATAGATTTTTAAAGATAAATTTGTTGTATAGAGTTTTATTATCGATATACTTTTAATATCGATATACTTTTTAATAAATATTTATTATCGATATATTTTTTGGATAGATTTTTAAAGATAAAAATGTTGTATAAAAATAGAATTCTAATATATATATATATATATATATATATATATATATATATATATATATAATCATAAATTTTAATAAATATCCTATAACTCGATACTATTTCCATCATAAAATTCATATTAAAAAGTTCATTAAAATAAGATCTATTTATAATATATTTAATTTATTTACAAAAATAATAGAGAATTAGTGAAAATAAGTTTTAATCAAGAAAATTAATTTTAGTTTTGGTAAAAAATACTTTCAATTCAGTAAAAATAATTTCAGTTCAATAAAATATAATTTCAGTTTAGTAGTATGTCTAAATATCCTGCATTATCAAAAGGGATTATATGACCGTATTTAACATTCAATCAAAGTTTATCCTAAACTTTTATCAACCATCTAGGCATCGCCCGGGCACAAAACTAGTATCATATCACTAATAAATAAAGCCGGTCTCGCAGTCAGACCACGAGACAACAACACTTGGTATTCCAGTTTTTCGCCAAGTGTTGAGCCATGTAGGCGAGAAATAGGTTTTATTGTGACACATATAATGCTAAGTAAGCGAATTTTGGATAAATATTTTAATATAGAATTGTTGTGTAGAGTTTTATTATCAATATACTTCTAATATTTCATATATACAAAATTAATCATAAATTTTAATAAATATCCTATAACTCAGTTCTATTTCCATCATAAAGTTCGTTATAAAAAGTTCTTTAAAATAAGATTTGTTTATAATATATTTATTTTATATAATTAATAGAGAATTAGTAAAAATCAATTTTGATCTGTAAAAATAATTTTAGTTTGGTAAAAATACTTTCGGTTCGGTAAAATAATTTAAGTTCAATAAAAATAATTTCAATTCAATAATGACATAGAATTCTTATTTTATACTATTTGAATAATCCTTTTTGATAAATTAAATATCATATAACTAATATATAAGCTAAACTTTTTGCAAGACCACGAGACAGCGACACTTGGTATTTTAACTTTTCGTCAAGTGTCACGCCACGTTGACAACAATTAGTTATTAGTATGACACGTAAGATGAAAATGTTGGTAAGATTTAGATATATTTTGTAAGATAAAAAAGTTAGTTTAGAGTTTTATTTTCAATAAAATTTGGATAGATTTTAGGATAAAATTACTAAGTTTTATTATCGATAAAATACCAATATTTTATATGTATAAATAAAATTATAATCCTATTAAAGAAAATAAATTATAATTTTCAATAATTATTATCTTAAATTTTTTTTATTTTTATATCATAATATTCGTGTTAAAGAGTATTTCAAAAAAAAAAACATTTATGATATACTTTAAAAATTATAACCCACAACTTTATGACAGGTAGTAATATATTTTTACTTAACAAACTGAGGGTTTCGAATAAAGTCTAGGAGTGCTCAAATTATTAAATGTCAATGGATCTGTAAAATTAAATTACTCATCCGATTATGAACATTTAAAGCAACTAATGTTTCAAATGTGGATAGATTTAGACATTAGTAATAATGTCTTTGAGATTATAATTATTCCTTATAATTATTTTATAAGTAGCCAATTAATGTAAGGATTTTTAAAACATAAGGATATATATTATGGAGGGAACCCAGGGCATCGCCTGGGGGTACGTACGAGTATATATATAAAGGGGAGTTTTTTCCCGAGTTTTTAGAGAGCCACGTAGGATGAAATTTTCTTAATGCGCCATGTAGGATTATAAACTTTAGTTATAACCAATCAAATAAGAGATTTGTAAATTCTTTTAGAATTAAATAATTCAAATGCCACATAAGCAAAATTGGCGAATAAGATTTAAAAGTTTAAATTAATTAAATATAAAATATTATTTTTTGAGATTAGAAATTTTATCTTAATATATAATGAATGAGGGTAAATTCATAATTTATTTTAAAATAAAAATATTAAATAATTACTACGTACAACGAATAAATTAACAAATATTATCACAAAAATACAAAAAAAATATTTTTTTAGAAAAATAAAAACAAACGTGCATCGCACGGGCTTCATGTAGTGATATAAGTTTGTTGGTGAAATATACTGTATATAAATATACATATATGCGTTTTTTAAAATATTTATTTTGCTAATAATAGACTCTTTCATAATAAATTCATTTTACGAAGTAATAACTTAGACAAATTCATTTTTTTTTATAATTTAATATAGTGTTAATTAAATAATAGTTATTGAATATTATTGTGTATGACACGGGATCTGACCGAGTGACTATTATATTTTGTGAATCGCTAAACGTCGCCCGCAAATTACCATATAAAGCCCACAAATATGATTTGGTGTGACCATTATGCCCATTTTCTAAAATTGAAATAATCTCGGTTTAAAAAATGTGGAGCCGTACTGGCTCGCCGGGGGAGACCGGAGGGCAGGCCGGAGATGCGGGGGACGCCGGAGGTACGTCGTCGTCGACGGAAAACGAGGTAAGTCACCGTTAAAATTCACGGTTTACCGTCGGAGTGACTCCGGCGCCTAGGATGGACGCCCAAACCGTAGCCTGGACGTCCAAGCCAGACGCCAGAACCACCAGAGTGGCGTCCAGCCCAGACGCCCAGACCACCAGACTAGCGTCCTGGCCAGGCGCCACTCTACTGGCTGTGGCGGCCCTGCCAGGCGCCAGTCCAGTGGCTGTGGCAGCCCTGGCAGACGCCACCCTTATAAATTAATTTATTTATTTTTTCTTTTTTGATTTTGTTGTTGTTTTTTTATTTTATTTTTTAAAAAAAAAAATCGAAAATGATTTTTTAAAAAAATTCGAAATGGGTTTTTTTTAAATTAATTTTGAAAATTCGAAATAGGTTTTTTAAAAATTAAGTTTGAAAATTCGAAATGGTATATTTTTAAATTTAGTTTGAAAATTCGAATTGGGTTTTTATAAAAATTAAGTTTGATTATATATAATTATGCTTTTTTTTGTGTTAATTCTGTGTAAATATAGAAATTAAATGTATTATCCGTTAAATGTATTTATTGTAATATATAATTGATGCAGGAATATGGTGGAGACGGAAATGATTACAGTGGGATATTTGGACATGATGGTCCATTCGAAGAAGCTCAACAGGCGATTGATTGGGCAAAACAGGTTGCAATTGCAGCTGGATTTTGCTTGCTAGTAGTAACTCATAAATCTCAACGGGATGGTAGAATGGATCGCATTTTGAGATGTGACCGTTATCGCAAAAGAGAAGAAAGAGATTTTCGTACAGCCACTCGGTTTGATACAAAGCGGAAAGGTTGTGGGTGTGAGTTCAGAGTAAAGGTTCGAAAACTACGGAGTTGTGACGGTTGGGAAGTGATTGGTTACTCTAAATGGGGGTATCACAACCATGAGATGATAGTATATGAAGAGGGTCATCGACAGCTGAGCGGCTTAAGTCCTGCTGCGAAACTAGTTGTGAAAGAAATGAGTGATGCTCAAGTCAAGCCTGCTAAAATATTAGCATCTGTGTTAGAGAAATTTCCAGAAGACCATCCAAACCGAAGACACATCTACAACGTCAGACAGCAACTCAGGTTTGAACGGTCAGAGGGAAGGAACCTTATACAGCAGCTGCTACACCAGGCACAATCACGTGGTTACCTGTTCTGGTTTGATTCTGATGAAGATACAACGGAGGTGACTCATCTTTTCCTTGTGCATCCTGATTGTACTGATATGATCAAGTCTTGGCCATTTGTGATTTTGATCGACTCAACGTACAAGACAAACAAGTACAAGTTCCCACTGGTTGAGATCATGGGGATGACTCCAACG